GCTTTCGTCATCATTTTTATGCAATATGGACTATGCTTTTCGGGTTCTCGGGTGATCCGATGCCAATCGTCATAGAAACCTATTTACCCTGGGTTGTTGGTTGCCGATAAAACCATTCCTAGTGTTACTTTCTATGCCACTTTGCTCGAAAAAATTATATGCGTAGGTGCGTATTTTAGCTTATTACCCGTTAACTACCATGTAAAAATTCCAGCTCGAGGTCAGCGCAAAACACATAAATTACAGCTCGTCCAGAATTCAGGCTAGATTACTTGGTACAACTACATTTGTCACTTATCTCATCAGTCAGTAGTGTCCTTTAAACATAACACTAAGTGACTAAGTTAAAGGACATTACCAACTTTACCAGGATGTGATTCGCAACTTCGGCGTCTACTTCTGCTCATTTACTTGGACCCATTCTTTTGAGTGAAAATGGAAATTGACCCACCCCAACTTTCCACTAGTCTATACTTACTGTCTTGAAACTCTAGTTGCGGAAAATTTCGCAACTCTTCCTGTCAATCTGTAGTAGCTTATCGCACTTAATTTGCACAGGCAAGGGTTTTCACTTAGCGTCCTTATTGTTCTTTTTTGTTTCCAGCGTCCTGGCGTCAACTGACTAATTTAAAACCTAAAAATTACTATCTCCAGATATGGATGCACCAGACTGCAAGCCGATGTTAGGCAACTTTGTGGTAATCATAGTTTTTATAAGTGAGACATAATACAACAGAGCATAGTCGAGGACAGCAGCCGTGGCGATGACACAGATGTGACGAAGTCGAATGCCGGTATTGCGAAGCCCTCCGACATTTACCGTCCCCTCCGTCTCAACCCCGTATTTTACGGTATGTGCAGAAGTTTCAGCTAACCCTTTCAGACCAAGACCCCTCTGCGATCAATAAGCGGCGTTCCCGGGAGAAAGTGCGGGCCGCAAAGCTGCTACTCGAAGATACCAGTATAAATGAGGATGAGGATTTGCCCGTAGAGGTCTATGTAGGTTTACTTTAAGTGGATAAAACGCTCCCCCTCCTTTTCTAAATCATAGTATGGTTCCTCCATCAGTGATACCAAATTTCTCAAGAAAATGCGAGAGAAGGAAAAGTAGGCCGTTGCCCTTGTTTGTTAATTTCGTGCCTCTCTCCCTCTCTCTTAATATAGGT